CCTGATGGCAGAGGGCCACAGCCGCGCCCCTGGAACTCACCAGCTGATCGGATGCATTAATTAGGCTGTTTTCTGGAGTGGGGCTAGTGCCTGTGGCCCGCAGGTGAATGTTTACAGCCCTGTGCCACCAGCAAACTCCTGCCTTGCCCTCTGGCCAGACGGCAGCACATTTGCTCCTCTGCTGACCCCACCCTTCCTCAGCCATTTGCTCCGCGTCTCGTCTAGTGTCGCTGAAGCACCGATCGCGGGGTCAGCAGGGGCCCGATAGCCTTGTGAGTCTGCATCTCCACCTGCCCTGCGGGGTCGTTTGGACTCCTGGGTCTCTGCCCCGTGTCTTCTAGGAGCTCGACATTCACGCACACTGCCCCGCAGGGTGAATCCGCACCCTTCCCGTAACCTCTGCTGCAAGCCGCTCCCTGCGATCACACCGCACGTGCGGCCAGCGCCGGGCAGGGCACCGGTTACTTCCCGTGCGTGCCCCAAGGCGGCTTTTCGCTTTGCAGCGACACCTCTGAGCGTGCAGGGTTGTGGGGCTGAGATAAGGAACTGGTCCATCCGGCCAGCCCTGAAGAGTTTACAGCCCTCAGCCGGGAAGGGTTTCAGCCGTGGCTGCCGTTAACCAAGAGCGTAGGCGGAAGGGGCCTTGGCCTGCCCAGTGGGAAAGATAGCATTCCTGAGATAAGGGCCTCGCTTGCAGCCCCCATCCAATGACAGCGCTGCAAGCCGCACACCCCTGGCCAGAGCGTGGCTCCTGCCTCTCCAGAGTCGGTGGCTCCCTGTTGGAAAACGGGGTGGGGCCCTGGGTTTCTGCGCTCAGCAGGGCGGCTTGCTGCCAAGTCCAGCTCCAGTGAGCAAAGCCAGCATGAGGTCTGGGGGGCAATCAGGCCCTTGGGGCACCCACCCACCACAACCCAGCTGTCCTGGGCCCCTTTGAATTGCTGCCAAAGTCCTATGTAGTTCTGAGGGCTGGTATGCAGCCAGCTCTGGGGTGGAGCGCTGCAAGCAGGTGACACATCACACTGCACAGGAGGGGTCAGTGTTTATGTAGCCTGGGCCATCAGCACCCCCTGCTCAGTGGCCTAGAGACCCCATCACCATCTGGACAGCCCTAGGAACTGACTGCCCTAAGCCCCGCCCCTTATGTTTACCAGCTGTTCCGGGGAGCCCCCGTGTGTAGGCAGAGTGGACAGTGCAGATCACACCTGATTGCCTTAACCCCCTTGGGGTATGTAGCAGTAGCGGCAGCGGCTGCCAGGAGCTCCGGGTCCCTTTGAATCTCAGGGCAATTGCCCCCTCTATTCCCTCCTCCCCAGTCAGCAGGCCTGCCCCCGTATCAAAAAAGATCCATTACAAGTGGAACAGGTACAGAGAACGGCAACAAAAGAGCTGAGGGGCATGGGAGAGATTTAAAAGCCTGAGACTGTTCGGCTTGGAAAAGAGAGACCTAACGGGAGCAATGACAGAGGTCTATAAAATCATGGCAGGGGAGAGAAAGTGAGGGCCATTTACCCCTTCCCATAACACACGAACCGGGGCTCAGCCAATGCAATCAACAGGCAGCAGGTTTGACACAAACAAAAGGCAGTACGTCTTCACACAACACACAGTCAACCTGTGGAACTCCTTGCCAGGGGATGTTGTGAAAGTCAAAAGTAGAGCTGGGTTCAGAAAAGGATTAGATACATTCATGGATGGTGGGGCCCATCAATGTCTATTAGCCAGGATGGCCCCGGACAACACCAAGCTCCAGCTGTCCCTAAAACTCCAACGGCCAGAAGGTGGGGCTGGAAAATAGGAGATGGACCATGTGATCATTTCCCCGTTCTGGTCAACTCCTTTGAAACAGCTGGCGCTGGCCAGTCAGAGGAGAGGACACTAGACGAGCTGGACCATTGGTCTGACGCAGCATGTTCCTAGGACAGGCAGAAGAAAGGCACCTGCTCATTGGCAGAGCCTCACCACGCACCTTTCTCTCTATTGACTTTGCTGATCCCTGCTGTGTTTGTTTTGCACCTGAGATTCTCTGAATTGCGAGAAGAGCCCGACCCCTGCACTTGAGTGGGTGCCAAGTGGCCTTTGGATGCTACTTTCCTCTCGATTGCCTGGCACGTGAAAGGGCCACGGGCAGCGAGAACCAGCCCCCCCGCTGTGCCGAGCCGGGATCTCGGGGTGCTGGGGAAGGTCCCAGGGCTCTCAGGGTGCAAGGATGGGCTAATTGGGAGGCACGCTGGGACTTGCCTCAAACCCATTGGTTTCCAGCGGCCGCGCCTTCCGCGCAAGCAGCCGTGAGCGCTGGGCCCGATGCTGGTTGGATTTGGAGAAAGGGGCTTCCCAGCCCAAGCTGGCAGAGCAGGGAGAAAGCCAGCGGGGAGTGGGACTACAGGAGCTGGAAATCAGGGAGGGACAGCGTTCGGGGGAAAGCCTGGAAGGGCTTTACACGTCTCCCCACAACAGGGAGGTAGCTCTGTTCTCCAGGCCGCTGACCAGCAGAGCAGGGGGGTACACTGATAGCCCAGGCTCCATAAACACTGACCCCTCCTGTGCAGTGTGATGTGTCACCTGCTTGCAGCGCTCCACCCCAGAGCTGGCTGCATACCAGCCCTACTGAATGCATGTAACAGGCTTTAAGATCTCGAGACTGAATGACACCTGGGGGTGGGAGGGGGCGAACTGCTGTGAGGTAGAAGAGATTTATTTTGTAGTTGATGAGAAGGGAATTGACGGGGTCAGACCCATGTCTGTAATTTTTTTAAAAGGAAGTGAAATGCTTACGGCTAGGGCGAGCGCCCATCGCGGGTGGTGATGTAATAACGGAGTACGGTAGGAGGAAGTCATTGGAATTCTAGCCAGCAAGACGCAATATTCAGCTTCCTGTTTCTAGGCAGCCCGGGGACGGGATCTGTCCCCTCCAGTGTACAGGTCTGTGGCTGGAGTTTTTGCTAAATCTGTGAGAACACAGCTGCCACCTGGGGCTGAAATGCCTCCTTCCCACGCCCTAGGAATCTCCCCCGTAACTCACCAGCACCAGAATGCTTGTTCCTTGGGGGCAGGGAGGTTTGGGTCTGCTGCCTGTGCACTGAGACACACCCCAGTGCTGCGTGAGGATGTTTTCTTCCTGTTTGCTAAACATTTCAGAGCCAGCTCACAGGAGGATCCAGTTAAACCCCGACCCTCCCGCTCCCAGCTGGGCAGAGTTTAGGACTAACTTGGCTTCACTGCTCAAACCACGCTTGGGTGCCTGAGGGCAGTGGTTCTCCACCTGCCCAGACGACTGGGCCCTGGATTTGCCTGGTGAACCCCCTCTTCTTGAAAAGGACTTGCTTACAAAAGCAGACATCGAACTCCAGAAGGGACCCAGCGCCTGTTACTGAAAGGTGCCTGCCTGTCTCATTCCCCCCGTTGAATTAGCCACGAAAGCATCTGGCGTGTAAATGCCGTGCAGTCGTGTGAGCGGGCGGGACACAGAGCAGTAGAGACAAGTCGTGTCTGTGGGAAAGTTTAGGTTGTTCTGACTTTGTCAGGGCTTTTTACGTAGCTTCTTGTAAAACTAGGCAACTCTAGATGAGCTGAGGAAACCCCCAGAACGGGGGCGGGCAAAATACGGCCTGCATCCGGCCTGCCAAACGGTTTCCTCCGGCCCACCAGGACCCTACGGTTTGGGGCTGGAGGAAAACGGCCTGCGGCCCATGGGGGTAGTCAGGCTGTCTGCCTGCCTCCAGCAGCCCCCGGTCACGCCTTCCTGCAAGGGCCAGCTGCCGCTAGCAAGCAGAGACGTGCTCCTGGGTGGGGGGCAGCAACACCGTCCTCACAGCTCCCATTGGTCACCGGCACCTCCTGCACCCCCGGCCTAGGTCAGACCCTTCTCCTGCACCCCTGGCCCAGGTCAGAACCCCTCCTGTGTACAAACTCCCCCCCACAGCCCTGCATCCTCCCCACCCTACCCCTGGCCCAGGTCAGACCCTCCTCCTTCACCCCTGGCCCTTCTGCACCCAAACTCCCTCCCGGCCTCCCTGGAGGTCGCTGCCAGGCTGTGTTAGCCCGGAGCTCAGCGCAGGCCCGGTGCACCGGCTCCCATCCGGGTCTGCCAGACAGGCCCCCCGGGACAGGTCCCCCCCACAGCCCTGCATCCTCCCCACCCTACCCCTGGCCCAGGTCAGACCCTCCTCCTTCACCCCTGGCCCTTCTGCACCCAAACTCCCTCCCGGCCTCCCTGGAGGTCGCTGCCAGGCTGTGTTAGCCCGGAGCTCAGCGCAGGCCCGGTGCACCGGCTCCCATCCGGGTCTGCCAGACAGGCCCCCCGGGACAGGGCGCTTAGCGACGGGAGACAAACGCCGCCTCCTGGACGCGCTCAGCCCTGGCC